TCRTAGGTTTTCTCTGGGTACTCCAGTTCCTCCCACAACACAAAAACATGTAGGTTGCCTTCAGGACCAGGCTGCATACATTTCTGTCATGGACCTTCATCCACAACTGATCTTAATGCACGAAATGAGAATTTTTTTGAAACACAAGACCAGAACAATAGTCAAGGTGACACAAAATATTGATTGTAATACCAATTTTCTTATTATATGAGACATATGATGGGCATTACACCAAATTATCACAATATTGCTACTCTTTTTAGTTACTGTCTTAAATGACATGTGACTGAATAATAGTGGAATGAAACCACCAACTCTTTCATTGAAGGATGACTCCCCTAACTGCTCCCATTACGATTAAACATGAAATACATGAAACTACAAGAGACATTTAGATTAAATTTAAGCACACATGTAGATTTGCACTTTACAAGACCACAAATACTCATTTGATCAATTTATGAAATGTCCCATGAGGCTTTGCTGCTCGAGAGCTCTAAAACAAAAATCATGGGCCGCTGCACTGGCTGCTAATTCAATCAAAAAAATAAATAAAAAAGACTGTACTTAAAAAGTATTTGTATTTCATGTATTAAATTTATTGTTTGTAGTATAYTGGTAGCATTAGAAACACTAATTGTTACCATGATGCTTTGCATTTGGCCCACAGCCCTCTGATAGATTTTCATTTGGGCCCTCTAGGGGAAAGTTTTATACAGCTAGGAGTATTTTCATTTCCTGTTAACATAATTAGCCACAGCGTTGCAGGTTGTTTTGTTAATCCCAATTTTTTATATTAAGAGTTTGAAAAGCCTTAACCTACAGCATTTTGTTGTTTTTTTAATGTAAATCTTTGGAGACATTAATAAATGTCATCCTTGCAAAAAATAATAAAAAAGTGAGTTTCATTAAAGCTGCACATCTTTTCAGAAATTCTAACAAAAGTATCAGTTTAGTATACTGCTGCCCCTGATGTAGCGTTCTGCGGCCTGGCAGAGCTGCCACTCAGCTGAAATTTATCCAAAAGTGCGATGACACGAGACGTCGTCCAAACCCTCCAGCTTGTTTGTGCAGCTACCTGGTTTTGGAGTGGAGGAGTCAGTAAACAGGTAAAATGCTACAAATAGAATCTATAGCCACTTAAGAATATAGTTTCATTGGAGGGCAGCCCGTTCCTGGGCCTGCGTCAGCACTGACCTTTTTACTGTTTACTGAAAGGATTTGATTTCACCTCCACTTCTCTCACTTTTACCTTTTTTTATTTTTTTTTGCCTTTCCCTCTACATTGACTCTGACACCATCTGAGGAGAATAAAATAGAAGTTTTGTCGAGGAGTGAGAGGTTGTGATTTTTCAGTCATGGGCCAAATGATATAGAACAAATGAGGTAAAAGAATTTTTGGTATTTTTAAAGCCAAGAGGTCAAGAGTTTGTGCATTTTTGCCAAACACAGTTCTTATACAGCAAAAGCAACTTAAAATAACATATTATTTTAAGTTAAAGAGCCAAACCATCATAGAACACACAATGATGGCTTTGTAAAAAGAAAGCAACAAAGCTACAGCKACTACTACTTTATTTATAAAGCACTTTAAAACAAAGTGCTGTACATGTAAAATGAAAAACACAAAAGAAAGATTAAAAACAATAAAATAGGAATATGCTTTAAGAGTTCTCTGTCCTGCTCTGAACATTAACTCAAACCTGTTTCTTGTCATTATTTTCCCGTCTTTCAGACTTTTATCATCCTTACCTGTGAGTGGCACATTTTAATGACTTCTCTTCAGTAAATACAGCTTAGTTCAGCTCCTAYAAACCTACAGCACCACCTGCTGGACGAACTAAGATAACTCCCAGCAAGCATCTCTTTCATTTGATTCATTTATTGTAGCTGTAATGAGCCAGGTGCACACAAATACTTAAAATCAAAGTTATCTTTTGCTTTTACAGAAAGTTCATGAAAGAGAACTTTCACAAACAAATCTGAAACAACTGACATGAAATTAGCTAAAAATAAAGCTCACAGAAATAACTTAAATATGTTAAAGTGGAATTAGGTTGAAAGGTTATGACCAGTTATTATCTTACCTGTTGCAGATGGGTAAAATAAAGAGTTCATGGAGTTTAATTTGGCAGGACTGACAAACTCAAAGTTAATTGTTGCGATCTTAAAACAGCACCAGTCTTGAAACTTTTCTACTGGTTTACAGAAACACTGTTTGTAAACCTTGGCATCATCATTGTACCATTATTTACATGGAAATGTTGTGGTTATTTGCAAAGAGCGACAGTAACAGGGGAAGTGGCACTGTTAGCAGGATTTTATTATATTTCTGTTGGTGTTGACTGACAGTCATGTTAAGGTTTAACAGTGTTTAAACAAACCTTTATACATTTTTGAGGATTAATGTTGTTTTAGGACAATAGGAATTTGTTTCGATGGGGCAAACTCAAAGTGGATTAATGAGCAACATTGTGCTTTGTGTTGTCTAAAAAACATATGGATGTCATCTAGTTCTTATGGTTCCAAGATGTACCTCACCTCTTCCCCGACAATTCCTGGAGATGAGTAGAGATGTGATGTTTGCTAACAATCTGAATCATTTGAACTAGGGCTGTGTATTGGCAACAATTTGGCGATAGGATACATATCATAACAGAGGGGTCACGATACAATATATCCCGATAAATTGCGATACTGTAAGCAAGGCAAATATTGTGATTTTTTTCCAAAAATTCTATTAAATAAAAACCTCTTACTGAAAAAAACAAAAGAAAAGCTAATGTTTACTTACAATACTAATGCTACCCTTACTCCCTGGCACTCAACAGGTAGAGGAGCCAAATGGCTGGCTCACTGCTGCCAACTAGTGGTCAGAGGCTGAACTATAACACAAAAATGAACGGTTGGCAAGAAGTTTGACATTTTAAACCTTAATTAAAAATCGACACAGGGCTTTAGAATATCAATACAGTATCGGGAAATGAAATACCACGATATTTCAGTGTATCGATATTTTCTTACACCCCTAATTTGAACAGATCCTTCTGATAAACAATAAGAATCGAGTTGAAGACAGTAAAGAATTTTTATTTTACTCCTCATAATATCTTTATTTTTCCTTCTTAACCATAAATAATTYCTCCACCTTTGCCTTTTCACAGAAAACAGGCCCAGAGTACAGTAGCTCAGGTGGAAAGGAGGTTCCCTCTTAACAAAACACATGTTTCTGCCTATTTGGCATGATAACGTAACTCATTCAAAATCGAACAGCTCTATTGAACAAAAGGATCACCAAGMTCTGGACCCCCTCAAAAAGCCATTCCATGAAAAGGTTCAGAGCTACAAACAATGGATGGATGGCTGAAATTCCTTCAAACAGATGTCAAAACAAAAGTTAACATTTACAACAGAATTAAAAGCATATTCCTAAAAGGAATACCTATCACCTGTCCCTTTTCTTTACCCCAGTTTTAAACAAAAGTCTCTATCTTGCTCTATCGGTTAGCACTCCGGTCATGTTATGGGAAATAACTTTTGGCTACAACCACACTACTTTTTTTCTCAGTATAAGTAAAAAAAAAAAAATTAAAGTATTATAGACATAGGCATACTTTGCGATGCATGTAATAGGTCTCTTGTAAATGAGACAATGAGTCTCAAGAGATTTTCCTGTATAAATAAAGGATAAACAAACAAATAAAGTAAAATATAAAATGACATAATTTGCTTTAACACAATGGAAATTAAGTGGTTAAATTGACATATGCAACCCTCTTGTTGTCTTTAGGTAACTTTGACCTGATTAAAAAAAATATGTCATATATGTGCGTTAAACATAATTGCTAAAAATGACATGCAGGGTTTTGGAGCATAACCCCACCAGAGGTAGACCTAAAGTTACGCCCWTGATTATAGACTTTCTTATGTTTGTTGAGGTTGCTTGGCTGTGGCCGTAATCTTGAATCAGTCTGCCTCCAAAGTTAATCAGTTGTAGACGCACTTCTGAGGATCCATTTGTAGGAGTTTAATCAAAAACCATCCAGAGGCTCATGAGATATTTTGCTAACACAATGTATAGACACAGGCAGTTACATGACTGCCCACCTCTCATGTTGGCAGGCAATAAAAAAAAAATCATAAACAGCAACAAGAAAACATTTCTTTTGTGAATCTTTTACCATTAAGGTTCTTTTAAACATTTATATTTACTTACTTWCTTGCACATACTTTACTGATTTCCTGTACCATGTGTTGTGCAAGACCACATGTCGGCTCTCAACAAACATCACAAAAAAAAAGATAAATGGCAACTCTTTCCTGTCGGTTAATTAAATCAACTTTTCCTGTTGTGAAGGATACTTTTTTTAAGTTGCAGGCTCCTTTGTTTATTCAAAGAAGGATGTTTCCAGCAAGCTTCCTACTATCGAGAGATTTAAGCGAACAGAAACGCACTAATAAAAATCTTTCCCACGATMTGTAAACAATTCATGCTTACTTGTGTTCATTGTTGTTGAGTGCCCGCTGCTTGTCCCTTGTGACAGTCTATTGTAATCTAAGCTTAAAATACAGAGAAAAGTCAGTGCTCAAGGTTTCCAAGGTGCTTCCTTTTGCTGCTCTAATGTGTGTGTGAAAGTATTGACCTGTATCTGCAAATGGGCATTATCATACTTACCCAGAATGCAGTGTTGAAAAAGGTAACACCCTTTTTTTTTTTTTAAACTGGAGAAGAAAACCCGAGAGGACAACTTGCCAGACTGAAGTTAGAGGAAGAGACTAAATCAGGCTCTGGGGTTTAAAGAAGCAAGTTTTTCTTGTCAAAGAGGATTTCTGTGATCTTTAAGGAAGTTTTAGATAAGTAGGGCTCCAGTTTAGACACTTTGGATATAGTTTTTCTACTTTTTTTGGGCTTTCCAAGGTGTAAAAGGGAAGTGGGACAGTCAGAGGGAGGAGCTCTCTGTTCAGATGGTAAATAGAGGGTCACATGTGGCAATAGACRAGCTTTAGGGGGAAAACAGGGGAGAAAGGGAGGGAAAGGAACAAGAAGGAAGAGGAGGACTTTGGTCTGCCTCATGTGTGGGAGGCGGCGCTTCTAGAGTTTGGAAGGACACACAACWAAGAAAAAAGGAAACAAGAAAGACTGCTATGTTGTGGCTAAACAAGGATTTGTAACAGTGTCACSTGGAGTCTGTTAAGATCCTACAACTAACTTTTTCTTTTCTTTTTTCTTTTTTGAAGCTGAAACACAGCAGCAACCATTATCTGTTTTTTTGATCAGCACACACTTGCTGAGAGTTTCTTCCGGGTGGCAGAAGAACCGAGATGCCCACAAACTTCACTGTTGTGCCAGTGGATGATGGCAACAACAGCACTACAGCAGCTGAGGAGAGCAGACCTATCAGTCTGAGCAAGATCTTTAAGGACGGAGACAATGTGGACAACTTACAGGAGTCTCACTCAGGTAGAAATAAACACCTCCCTGCTCTGAACTTTTGATCCTTCTGGCAGGAAACAGAGGAGTTATTGTTTCATTTACTCAAAAGGTAACACAGACATTGACATGTTTGTTTGTTCCTTTTTGTTAAAGAAAGAAAACTTCAGTTCATTGAAATAACTTGAAATTAATAAAATAAAACAAAAGTCAACTAATGAAAATTAGTCATTGCTTTTGTATTGTAGTTTAACAGAATCATATAACAACAATAATAAAAAAAAAATCAAACTGGCATTGTCAAAAATCAAAAGGATGAAGGATGAYACCCATAATTTAATGTTTTGTTGCACAACCTCGGATAAGATTTAATTAAGAACTCAGAAAGACACTTAAGAACAGTCCTATGTGCCCCAGGGCAGCTGTGGCTACATTGTAGCTTACCATCATCAATGAGTGAATGTGTAAATGTTTAAGTGTAAAGCGCTTTCGAGTACAACAGGACTTGATAAAGCATTATATAAGTTCGGTCCATTTATCATTCTTGGGTAATTTTAGTTTGGTGATTTGGTGTCATTATACCACTGAAGGACTTATGTTCTGACTGAGACCAAGCTTTCGGACATTTCACTCCAGAATGCCTTTATAGTCTTGAGATTTGATTGCACTCTGGGCAGATTCAAGATGCCAAAGCAGCCCCAGAACATAACCAACCCTCCTCCGCATTTCACTGTAGGTACTGAATCTTTTTTTTTTTTTTATGTTTTAGTTTTGGTTCTGAGAACAAATAGCTAAAGTGACTCATTTCCGAACAGCTCCAGTTATTTTTCCATCAAGTCCTCACGCAGTGATAGACGGTGTCTTCTGAAACTGATGTGCTTKGACCTTGGAGTTCACGTCTAGTCTCTTCAGAAGTTGTTTCCTTTGGTGGGCACTTTTGATAAATACATTGTCCTACCCAGGCAGTGCATCAGTGTYACCAGGTGAGCATCAGTCACTCGTTTGTAATGCCTAGACCCCCGTATCATTTCAAAATCTATCTAAATGTTTAATCTAGTTAGAAAAATTGTGAGAAATTTTGGGCGTACGCTAGGTCTGCGGGACTCCACAATCTTTTAAAGAGGAAAAAACACCTGTAAAGTGCCTACCTTTGGTAACCATCATCTATATCTTCAATTTGTCATAAATTGTTCATCTGTGGTCTTGTTCAATGAGGTTGTCTACAGTCACAGGGCCTTTAAAGTGCCTGTGACGTGCATTTCCAACAAATACAAAATTACAAGAAARCGTTTAATTTAAGAAATTTGTCAAAATGCACAGAATTTTACCCATTTTGYCACAAAACTGGCATGTTGTTGTTTTGAACAAGGCACAGCCAACGTGAAACAGGAAGTGACAACAAGGGGGAGCTCTAAACTAATGTTTCCCAAAGTTGGGGTCGGGACCCAAAGTGGGGTCCCGAAACTTTAAGGTGGGGTCCTGAAAAGATTTTCTGAATTAATTACATTTTTGCCTTAGTTTTTACAGAGTGAGGTTAGTATATTTAAAATGGATAAATGTAGTATAAAATATAGTTACTATGCCCATGTTTAGTTGACCTGATACAAATGTTTATCATCCAAAAAATAGCTGGGGGCACAGGTCTCTGCTACTGTTATTTTGTGGGTCAAAAGCTGAAAGGTTTGGGAACCACTGTACTTTGGTTCCCAAAGTTGGGCTTGGGACCCAATWATGGGTCATGAAGCACCTTGGATAATCTCCAGAAATCAGTTTAAAGGGTAAGAAAATAATTGCTGATGTTATATTTTCCCTATAATTATTWTAAAAACACAACTTAAGTATAAATAAGTATTTAAATTTGTGTATAAGCTGTTTAGATTGTCAAAAAGCCTGTGTTTTTAGGGTTATTAACGAAGTTCGTGTACTCAGACCAGTAATATTTGGGGTCACAAGTTTTTGCCATGAAAATTTTGTGGGTCAGAAGAYAAAAAGTTTGGGAACCACTGCTCTWAACAACAGGTAACTTCCTAGTCTTGTCTTTGTTTACACAAATTCAAACCCTTTTGTCAGTCTGTCGGCCTCTTTTACAAGACAACCTAGGCCAGGACTTGAATATCTGTTGGCCACACCTGGGACATCTGAATGTAATGGCGCGGGGGTGGGGTGGGGGGTGTAGGAGTTAGCCCACCCTTGATGTGCCTCAAACGAGGTAGTAAGAGACACTTGAAAAAACAAGCCAKGCTCCAATAATGTGATGAATTAAACTATATTGATAATAATATTGATTATTAATCTGAAGAAACATCAGTTWCTTTGCTACCGTCTGTATTTATCACAAAMATGTTGTATCACAGGCACTTTGAACCTGTGAATGATATGAGCAGATAAAGTCACAGGAACATGAAATWGCTTGGAGTTGGTTTTTACCTTTAATTAACTTAACAATACCAAACGGCACAGTGACTACTTTTCAGCCTGAACAGATACAGTAAACTATTTAGACTGATTGACTCCAGGATTGAAGACACTTCTAATGCAAATTACAGGACAAACGTCCCTAYGGTCAAACTAGTTTCAGTCTTTTGTAGTTATCATCCTTTGGGTAAAGAACAGTTTTAGTTTCTTTTTTCATATAGTATATTTAGTACTTCTTAAAATTACTTGGTCAGTCTCAAGTATTTCAGTGACTTTTTTTTTTTTTTGTAAAAGTGTACAAACAAAACGTGTCTGTTTCAGTGCGTTTATGAAAGAATCAACCAAATGGAAGCCTGCTGACACAAACTCGTGTCATGGCAGTAATATGCCTTGAAAAAAAAAAAGGAAAAGCCAGTTTAACTAGCCGGAACTTGTAGGGCATTTTGACTAATCAGCAGGGAGGAGGGCCTTTGCTTCTCTTGCCAAGTCTTTACAAACCTTAATGATGGTTGGTGAAGTCTCATCATGAACGTGCTGCAGGGCTGCATGCAGTTTGCACAACTAACTCAGGGAAAAAATGTCCAGAGTGTGTAGGGAAAATTCTTTTAAAACTTTAAATGTTTAACTATCTGAAGGAAGCAGACACTCCTTTATCTTTGGTTAATTATAAAGGAAAAGATCATAAAAAGGAATTTATCAGCAAAACAGCCACTCTGTCAGTTACACTATTTTTTTGAAGCTTCAATTGTTTATTTCTTAAAGATCAGTTTATGAGTGTTAAGAACAATAAATGTCACTTTTAAAAAAACTTGATGCTGTAATAGGCTTTGCACTTTTTTGTATGGGTATGATGCTTGTTTGGCAGCTAGGAGAGGTCATGTAAAGTAAAAACARCTTTAAAAATGTAATCCAAGTAGTTCAAAATGCAATATAAAAATACAATACACAACTGAATAAACATGAAACAGCAGTAATCTGTGACTCAGTAATTTCCTTTCAGAAAATATAATGAAACATCTAATATAGGTTTTTGGGCAGGCCTTGGATGTTGAAAATGTACTTATTGAGAAAGATTTACTTAGCGTACGTCTATAAATTGTTTTCTTCCTGAAGCTGATTTTTCTGCTTGCTTTCTTTGTACAGTTCTGAACAAGGTTTACTATTATCCACTACACCAAGTGCTCACTGGTTTACTATTACTGAAACCAAAAACCCAGCTAAGCTTTTTTTTTTTTTTTTTTTTTTTTTTTGCTGCTTGCAGCTGCTCCTCTGTTTTTCAGACTCTGGACTGATTTTTGCTGTTCCCCTCAGATTATTCACCCATTTGTCCATTTTCTCTCCACTGTTCTGTTTTGGGTCGTGGGAAGCTGATGCCCATCTCCAGCGGTCATTGGGTCAAAAGTGGGGAACACCCTGGACAGGTCTTCAGTCCACCACAGAGTTAGATTATAGTAGATAAAACTTTATCTAGCTAACCACATCCGTGTGAACATTGCWCGCCTCCTTACAAGCCAAAGTTTTTTAAAACATCTTGCAACATCTGTTAGCTCTTGCAGTGTGTGTTAAGGATGTCCCTCAGCTACCRACACACAAAAACAACAAACAGAGCTAAAGCCATTTTTAACTTTGCTGAGGCCCTGTTTTCAAAATGTTTTTGCTTGAATTTTGAACATGTTCAAAAGATTGTGACAAATACATGTATGTTGCCCCTTTTCCACTAGTGCCACTTCGTGTAGTGTTGGTACGGTTCCAAGCCATTAGGCCAGATTCATGGAACCGGCCCTTTTTTAGCGCTTACTTGTGCTTCCAAGTGGTCCCAGTTGACATCAAAATGCGACATCAGAACACTGTTTGCCACTGGTTGTCTAGGGGGTGGAGTCTGAGCTGCCTTTACAACAACAACTCGAGGCACTATTTTTTTCAATTGTAGCAGCGACATTAGTCGTGTTTCCATCCAACTTTAATTCAAATTTTTAGTGAATTTTTTAAATTTCACAACTTATTCGGTAAATGTGTTTCCATTTCTCATTTTGCGCATTAACTCTTCTTCTAAAAACCCAAAAACCACCTCCACCAATCGCCCAAAACACACCCACTGGAACCGGATTGGAACGTCAATGGAAAAGCGCCCTTCGTTCCGACACTGACGGTACCKACACTACTAAGTGGCACTAGTGGGAAAGGGGCAGAAAGAGTCACAGAGTTGTCACTGACATCTTTTTGTTATTCCGGAACTATTGAGATGTATTTTAATACCCAGCAGGAGACTCTCTTTATGACAAAAAAAAAAAAAAAAAGTCCAGGGGTCTCATTTATAAAGGATTGCGTGGAAACCATACTAAAAGTGAACGTACGGCCAAAAGGCGAATATGGCGTACGCCAAAAAAATTTCAGATTTATAAAACCGTGCGTACGCACGTTTCTGCCTATCTTTCCTTTATAAATCACAGCCGCACGTCAGAGTTTGTGCACGAGGTCCCGCCACAGGTTCTGCCCTCTGCATGCCCACACTCAACTATAAACAGTCAATGTAAAGTACCTCATGACTGTTAAGATATATTTAAATCAGTCAGTTGATCAATGCCAACAAAAGTGATTGGTTCAGACACGCTCCG